GGCTGGAGATCAGGCACAAGTGAGGTCTGGTTGGGGGAGGCAGGACTTGGATCCAGACACATCACCAATCAGCTGACAAGAAAACGGGCCATGAAACTGCTTCGCCTCAATGGCCCTCCCAGCCACCTGCGATCAACTGGACCCAATGTACTGTATGCAGTCTCATCTCACGTCGCCATTATCAAGATTCTGATTCGAGTAATACCTAAGAAAAGACAGGCATACACCCAGGAGACTGACTACACTCTGTATTGACCAAGACTTCAACTGCCACCTCCCAGTTGTCAACATATATCTATAGAACCTAGACGTATTGTTATTGGAGCTATAGCTGCAAAGTAGAGGGAACTCTCCATCATTCAATCACATGCACGCACCAACCTTTCCCCCTCCCCCCATATAGCTGCAAGGTAAAGAGAGCTCTCTATCATTCGATCACGTGCAAGCTAACAGCCTTTCCTCACCCCCTTCCCCTTCCCCCCTTCCCCCCATATAGCTGCAAGGTAAAGGGAGCTGTCCATCATTCAGTCACGTCCACCCAACGACCTTTCATCGCCCCCTTTCCCCTCCCTCCCCAGCCTCCTCCCAAGCGTGAATGTCATTATGTATCATCCTCTCTTCACCCTTTTCGTACAGCTTTGGCGAACGAATTTGCTCTTGCTCGTATCAGCGACAAGCAAGCCCATCTGCAGACCTCCCAGATCGCTGTCAACAATGACATTCCACTCTCTGATCAGCCTTCATACTGAGCACCCGTTAATTGTATCTGTTCATCTGCTTGCATCTGGATTTGAACTCGGGTCTGTACTTCAACAGTTCATGGGCGTACCAACTGAGCTAGGTTCGTTGGTACACCCGTTAAGTGTATTTGAACAGGTGAAAGGAGTGAAGCAGCAAACTGGAACAGAGCCTCCTATGCTGGAAATAGCGGCCCCTGGTCCGACACAGGGAGGCGCTCACACCCCCTCTGGACTCATATTTCCTCCCTTGAAGCCTTTCCATCATACTCCCAAGCAAAGAAAGACCAGAACACAGATTCCAGTTGACGTCATATCCCCTCTCTTTCTCACCACATGAAAGCCGAACATAAACTTGCACACACTCACCCACAAATTTTGCTGTGATGTTCGTGCCTCTGTGGCAAGGGGTCGGTCGCCTCCCTATGCAGCAGACAAGGAGAGTGCTGGACGTCTCAGGGCATACTCACACTAGCAGTTTTCTACAGGTACCCCACCTGGACACATCTGACTGCAATTACGTCCACAGCTGAGCCGGAAAAGTCCTAGTGTGAATATGCCCTTCGTGACCGCATGGGAGGCGCAAAAGCGTTCGGCACTCGCCGAGCTGTGAGCCCAACACGGCGAAATTAGCAGAGCAGTATAAACCAAGGACCGACACTCTTGCTGCTGCTGCTGCTGCTGCTGCTGTTGATGATGATGTAGCGGATGCTCCTGCTGCCGCTTATGCTCTGAACTTCCACTCCCGTCGGCACATCGGGCATTGTGGGCGAGGGCTTTGGGCATTGATCCATTTCAAAATGCAGTGAAGGTGAAAAGAGTGATTGCATGCACCCCAAATTAAGGGGCAGTCATCCCCGGGCATCTTGCAGTCCGGGCAACACCCATCAAAAGCCATTCGGCAGATTCCACATGCATCATCTGCCGCATCCCATGTCCAGTTACCGACGGCATGCCAATTAATTATCTTCACTTTCATCGTGCGAGAGTGTATGAAGATACACCCGACTGCTCCCTCCCTCCCTCCCTCCCTTCCTCCCTTCCTCCTACGAACCAAAACACAGCTCTCCACTCTCTTCGCCTTGTGTGTCACCAACTATGCCTTGCTGTCTGAAGCTACCTACATGCACATCTAGCTAGCATGCACCGTCATAAGTAATATCAATCTCCAGATTCTCCACACCGCAAAAGACACACCATTATATGATGCGTTCAGCGTACCATCTCAGACTTACAACGAGACTCTGTTTCAGAGGGTCTAACAGAAAAGAGCACACACACAGAGAGAGAGAGAGAGAGAGAGAGAGAGAGAGAGAGAGAGAGAGAGAGAGAGAGAGAGAGAGAGAGAGAGAGAGAGAGAGAGG